CATCTCATCGTCATCGTAACGATGGATCTTCGTCAATTATACACTTAAGTTTAACAATTTTGTATAATTTATTTCGCATGCAAGCTTGCTCTTTTCTTTAATTTAAGCGTACTCTTTCTTTAGTTTTAAGACATTTTGTTTTACATTGTTAACTGTTTTTTTTGTATTTTTATTCCATTGTATCTTGTTTTCTTTCATTTTATATTTAATTGTTAATAAAACGGATTTCTGTCTCCATACCAGCTAACGATTATGTTCATTTGCAACCAAAATTTAATTTAATAAATCTATCTCTCGTCGATATCAAATCACCGTTTTAATTACATTTTAATTACATTATTTACATATATACAGAGAGATCAGATAAAAACGGTAAGTGTCGCTCCAATTCCCATTTGGGAAAGGTGATTTGTCCCTTCAATTAAGAAGGAAAAGCAATAATCTTTATACCACATCCGCGCAATGTACTTCCCAACAAATAGGAGTCCTCTTCTGTAACTTCAAAAGGAGTATCGAGGGATGGCCCATGGAGGATTTGAATCGTGGAAGAAGGATCAGCCACACCAGTTAAGATTAAGTCGAAAGCGACAAAAGAACATACACCTATAAGACAAATACTCGTTTTTTTTCTCAGCGTGTAAACCAAGGCTGCTCAATGTGTCCCATTTAATTGAAGGGTGCATTTGCTCCATATAGCAAGGGGAGACAATGCCACCCTATATAATAACTATGCTTGAGCATGGTAGCGATTATATGATCGCCTGGTCTGATTTTTGGAGGACACAGGACTGTTGAAATTTATATAGTACTGATAGATATTTCGTTTTGTGTCTATTTCGAGTATATTTGCACGTATTTATTAGCATGAGGGTGTAGTGAGGGAGGGCCGATCCTAGAATACTGAGCACCCCAGGGACACTCAATGTGCTTATCTCACTGAGTAATCGAGGAATATCTTCTACTACAGGAAAGAATGACTTTAAGCGTGAGTAAGAGCGCGAATGGGTTTGGTTGTAAAAATGTATGCGTTGCGGGATGAAATGGCTTTGCTGATGATAGCCCCTGGTGCTCAATCTCGGCAGCGGGACAGGTAAGGCTGAGATATTGTACAGAATAAAAATAACTCAGACATTTTTTAAACAACCGTACCTCATCTATACAAAAATAACTATAGAAGATTCGAGACAAAGAAACAACATCCCGCAGTGCACGAAATGCCAAAAATATGGTCATACCGGCCATGCTTCTACTACCAGCCTCAAGTGTGCAGGACCTCGCCCTTCTTCCGACATCATCAAACCACCGACTTACCCGACACTTGCGTTCTATGCGTAGGTGCACACCCTGCAACTATCGAGGATGTGCCACTCATAAAGAATTGCAGTATATACAAATGCATAGGCAGACCAACAAATATCCACCAGCCGTTACTGCCCCACTGCCAGCACGGTTGAAACACCGACTTCTGTCAATACACCTCAATTTCTATTTCTTTTCCCCAGTTTCCGATCTTTTTTCGTGCGTTTTCATGGCCAATGAATGCGCTAATGAACAGTAATGCTAAATACTTTAAGTTCACGTCTCAATGATTATACTAAACCGTCACGACCGAGAGGTCTTGTAAAACTTACTCTCTAACGCACAACTCGCTCAACCACTTTCGAAACTCAAACACTCTCTCTCTCTCTCTCTCTCTCTCTCTCTGCCGAGAGACTGCCGGACTGCCAAAGCCAAGGTGGGTGATTCTCGCAGCCTGCCGGTAAACAAATAAGTTCGGCTCTGTAGACGTGGGATGTATGGGCGTGCGCCGGATTGAGCTTATTTGAGACAGTAATCTGTAGTCATCTATATACATTGTATTCTGTTATATTGTATTCTTAACAAAAACAAACCAACTCTTCTTCTTACGTCTGTTTTTTCGTTTTTTGTAAAAAAAGACAAAAGGAGAAGTGGATAATTTCTTGATAAACTTAGGCTAAAACAACCTTCACCAAGATTGACAAACTCGTACTACAGAAATAGTGAGGGCTAATATTTAGGATAGTGAGTCCAATCATTTACTGCTCATTCACATCTGAGAAAACAACATATTCAATGATGAGCCCAATTGTAGATTGTTCAGTGAGGAGGAAGAAGCAAACACTCCTATTATGTTTGAATTAGAAGTAATCGAGCATATCCTGGGATACACAGAAAACCCAGGGAAGGAATTGTACCAACAACAGTCAATGACTAAGTATTCTTTAAAAGAAGGATAGAATCGACGGAACTAAGGAACTAGGAAAGTACAACAAATTAGATGGTTCAGTGCTTTGGGGACATTAACCCCCACTTCACAATCTCTTTTCATCATCATCACTTCTTACAGACCCATCAGTCTTTTTTCTATTATCGGTAAGATTTTAGAGAATCTACCGTTCCTCCGCCTTTATAATGAAATACCTTCCCACATTACTTCCAATAATTATTTCGGGTTTTAGGGTTGCTTCTCGAATATCCATCATGCGGATCTCGTTTTAGTCGTCATTCCTATCACTATCGAGCTGGGACAGTTCTCCCCAGGTATTGTCTTGAACATATGTTAGCATTTGACTGTATAGCACCCGAGGCATCCTACCATCTCTCTTAACAAATTCCGTGTTTTCCAGTTTGTCACTTCCAAAACACTTTTTTCCGCTCTATTCACCCATTCTCGCTGGTGTCTCGCAGGTTATCGTGCTTGCTTCTCTCTTCTACACAATTTAAAAGACTGAGCTAACTACTCATTACACCATTTCCACTTGCACTTGTACCTTGCAGCTTCGTGTAAAATACAAAATCGCTTCCACACATTCGAATGCTGGCTTAGACAGTGGATAATCAGAATTAAAAATATTAAATCTTAAAATTGATTTTTACTATTAACAAGAAACACGCCCACCTCTGTATTCCGTAATCAATTTCCTATTTCGGTTGTAAACCAGGTACGATACCTCGGACTGAACGTTGAGAAACGACTTTCGAGGCTTACACGCAAAATTTGAGTACAAGAATTAATTAAGGTTTTTAGTTCAGATAAAAAAATCAGTGTCACAAGCGGGATTTGAACCCACGATCTTCGGCTAGATACGCCACTGCTCTACCACTTGAGCTATCGTTACCTCCATCCACTCGGACACTAACTTCCTATCAATCAGATCGTGGGTTCGAATCCCGCTCGTGACACTGATTTTTTTAATCTCAATTAAAAACCGTAATTAATTGAAATATATTAATTGGTCAAGAAGACCACTAAAACTAGTGAATTTAAGTACAAGGTTCAAACAGTTAAAAATAATAATTTACAATTTGTTGAAGATGTAAAGAGCATTCAAGGATGATGTAGTTTAGACAAAAAACCTTTTTAATTTTTTTGGCGGCGTTTCGCCCTTTATTCTGGTCATCTTCAGGGCCTGGGCTAATTACAAAACATATGTTGATTAAAAAAAATCCTATTTAAGTTGTAAATATAAATTTTTAACCAAGTACTTCATGCACACATAAAATGTGGTGCTATTCCTGTGGTGTCATATTGGTTTTGTGTGAGAGTGTGAAACGGAAATTTGTATTCTGCTGTTTTATATGATTGTGACAGGGTGGGGGACGCGGTAAATCTGGGAAAATCTCTTTGATCATAGGAGGTTTTATTTAACTCAAAGAAAATCGAGAATGGGGATTTTCTGGATTGGATATGTGATTCCGCATTCAATATTGTAAAGGAAATTAATTATTAAGGACGATAAACGAAGGAAAGGGAAAAATAAAATAAAGGTTGAATAGTTTGTTTGCTTTATGATGTTGGCCACGGCTGAGTTTGCATGTACTTGTTCTGTAATTGATGCTGTGTATGTCTCTATTAATGTAAACCATTTCTAGAAAGTTCCATTTGTATTTGGTCGAAATCAATGTTGAGTTGCTTTTCAAAGTGGTGTGAACAATGCAGTGAGATTGGTTTATCGTGTTTTACAGTCATAAATGTGTTGTTGATTCCTATTTTGTAGTTATTGCGATGTAATTCAAATGGATGTAGCTGGATATTAATAAAATTAATTTTATAAATTAGATCTGATTTGTAAGTGTTGGTGATGGGTCTTTGACTTAGGAAAAAAGTGTCTGCATTGTTTTATGGGTTTTAAAAGCTATTTTCATGTGTTATGAGGAGAAAAATTACTTAATTTGTGTGACAATGTGTGGATGAATGGAATGGACATGTATATTGGTTTGTTTGTGTATGATTGTGTTTTGCACTTTGGAGTATGTTAGTGTAGGGCCTATTGCTGTCCAAGGCTATGCAATGTATGTTTCTACAAACAACATCCTCCAAGCGTATGAAATAGTTGGTCCAAAATTTATATTTGCATCTTAAATGGAATTTTTTCCAATCAACATACTAAGTTTTGTAATTTACCCAGGCTCTGAAGATGACTCGAATAAAGGTCGAAGCGTAGGCAAGAAATAAAAAATGAGTTTTTCTAAACTACCTCATTCTTGGCCGCTCCTCACGACGTCAAAAAATTATGAAACAACCGGTCACTAAGAAACACACATACTAATTTACAAGTGATCTGAACCAACATTGACTATTCTTTGATCTGCTAGCCGCTTATGGACAAACAAACTTGAACTGTCGGAACTGCTAAGATTTTCGTTCTTAAGTCTCTACAATAAAAGCTGTACAGTCCAAAATTCTCCGAACAATCGTAAATGATCCCTACATTAAAAATTACATTTATCTCCAAATTTGTCCATTTCCTTTACTCAAAGTTATACTGTAAATTGACAGATTATCCTACTAGTATACTAATTATCATCGAAAGTACCCCTTACGCACGAAATATCATTCGTTAAACGTCGTTATATTTGTACGTTCACACATTATGCTCGTTGTTTCAACATTATTTTGCATTATTTAAATTGTAATTTAAAGCGATGATATTTTAGCATGCAGATTATAAACTCTTTAATACGAAATATCGATTTACCTGTTGATAATCTCCGAATTTGGTCTGGTAATCGAAGACGTAAAGGAAAGAGTTTCGTCGTGCCGAAGAATGGAGGTCAGCAGTATGGACGATGGGCGCGACATATTGCGCGTCGCTTAGAGCCTCAAGTGTCTCATCTCTGATGTTGATGGGGTGCTGGACAGGTCTTTCCCAATCCGTATACTCGTTGACTATCGTAGCCAGGATTTCCGACAGGTGGTATCTGAAACAAAGCATCAGTCATTAAATATTTTGTTTCGTTCATTATGTCAATTACTTGTTATATTTTAGGAATTTACTCAGACAATTATAGAACCTGATTATGCCTTAATTATTAAATAAACTGACTATGTAAAACAATGATGGGCAAAAGAAACGCATCACCCCTGAATGTTAATTCATTTAAGTTTATGTTTTGCATATCAAAGATACATTTTGTTGTAAAAATACAAGAATTAAAAAGAAAATGTTTATTGCCGAATTCTACAATAAAAAACAAAACAATTATTCAGTAAAGATAAAAAAAATCGATAATTCAAAAACAAATAAAAATGTATGAAAATCTTTTTTGGCCCCTTTAATACCGAATATTTCCACCTTTGGCACGAATGCGACCTTTAAACGCCATGCATTCCTTGCAAAAATTGCTTAAGAAATCTTGAGGAATTCTTTCCCATACATTAAAAACAACCGTTTCCAACTCTCCTAGGGTGCTAGGACCTAGGTTTCGCCGTCGATTCGCTGTCGTTGAAGTTAAACCCATATGTGTTCGATTGGGTTCAAATCCGGAATTCGAGCTGGCCACTCCAATCAATTCCAACCTCATTCAGGTAGTCATCCAAAATAGTGCTCCATGGGGGCCTGTATGATCCTACATTAGCAAGAATCTCTCACCGAGGGGGGGGTGCAAAATGGAATTAAATGTTCGTCTATTATGCCTTGTAAGTTCTTCTGTAAAGTTAGTGATCTTTCTCACACAAAAACCAATTCGATGCGGGCCTCCAAGCAAATACCACCCGAGAATATCAATGAACTACCATGGATTGCCACCTGAGGACCATGCAGCATGGGCCGACCTTTCTCCTCAGCGTTTCCATATGAAATTTCGCCCTTCTGAAGAATATTAGAAGCCAACTCTCGCCTCATTTATAAATGTCGTCCCCAATCCTCCAATGTACAGTTCACAAGTTCCACTGAGAATTAAAGCCGGGATATTTTCTGAGCTGTGGTGTGAAGAGGTCCACGAACATTGAGCCCGGGCACTGAGGTTGTTTTCATTCAGCCTTCTTACAACAGCGCAGGAAATCGAAACAATTCGGACTTGTCTTATCAGATTTCTTATCTCATTTCCGTAATGCTGCGATTTTGGAAAGCCGGATGAATCAATCGTCTCTCTCGTCTGTACACTAGGCCGACCATGTCCTGGCCTTCGAGTGTGAAGTTTCTCTGTTTATCTGAAGCGACGAAGAACTCTTCCTATTGTAGAGTGATTAACACTCATTTTCCTCGCGTTGGCGGTATCCTTCCTCTAATAATGTTATGTATGTATGTAATGTTATATGCATGTAATGTTATGATCCTGACACTGTCATACTCACTCAAATGCCTTACTGGAGCCATTGAAAAAGGCTTAAGACTAAAACATCAACGATGGAAAAAGATTAAATGGGAGCGTTCTTGAGGATTAATCAGTACAAAATTAAATAAAGGAAGTAAACAAAGCATTATCTATAGTTAATTTTGACTACGATTGCTCGTAATTACCTTATAATTAATGTAGATAATAGATTTAATTTAAACTAAATAAATTGAGTGGTGCTGCATATACTCATCAGTATATTATTAAGTAATACCGAGGAGTTTATTATTATCAGTGAAGAGGGTATATTAAATTTTCTGTACAATGATGGTGAACCTATAAGAAATAAAAAGGTAATTGGAAGGTTTTTGGAATAGTAGTTTGTTTATATCAGCCCGTTTAGTCTAAAACATATAACCAACTATTCTATGTAAATTGAACATAATAACATTTGAATTCGTGGTCTGAAATTTCACTTACGTGGCAAGAAATCGCAACTATCGTTGCATATTAGCTGCTGGGAAGGTGTGATAAATAAAATCACAAAAAAAAGAAAAAAAAATGTTTTCATATTCTTCACTAGTTTTCGTGGTCCGCTTGACCAATTAATATCTTTCAATTAATTAAGGTTTTTAGTGGAAATAAAAAAGGCAGTGTCACGAGCTGGATTCGAACTCACGACCTTCGGCTAGATAAGCCGCTACTCTACCACTTGAGCTATCAATCCACCTGGACACTAACTTCCCATCTCAACCCCACTTCTTTTTTTTTTTAATTTTCCCTCCTTTTTGCCATTTTTCAAATTTGTAATCTATTTGATTCGCAGCGACAAATGAAATGGCCACGGAGAGCTTTAGTGAAGTGTACTTCATTTTTACTGATTAAATTCACTAGCTTTCGTGATCCGCTTGACCAATTAATATTTTCAATTAATTAAGGTTTTTAGTTGAGATAAAAATATATATTTAAATATCCAATGTATATGAAAACTAATTAAGGTTTTTAGTTGAGATAAAAAAGCCACCGACACACCGGATTCGAACCAACGACATTAGGCTAGATACGCCGCTACTCTACCACTTGTGGTGTCGTGACTTCGATCTTACTCGGACATCAAGTTCCCTTGAAACTTGAAAAATGGCAAAAAGGAGGGAAAATTCAAAGGTGGGGTTGAAATGGGAAGTTGGCGTATCTATTCGAAGGTCGTGGGTTCGAATCCCGCTCGTAAAGCTGACTTTTTTTATCTCAACTAAAAACCTTAATTAGTTTTCCCATACATTGGATTCTAAATTTTAAACAAATCAACTTTAATATAAATAAAAATGGTTATTATACAATTTATACAAATAATTATTACACTTGTGATTAATTGTTTGCTTGGGCATACGTGTTGTATTGCTCGTAGTCATTAAAATCCATCAGCGGCCAAGTACATCATAAATTGTCATCGGCTTCAGTCACTCGTGCAATGTCGCAAGCAGGAGATCGTTTTGTCAATGGGAAGTGTTAATAAATTATACGAGGTTAATTCGGCTCCCTTCAATTTGACATTGCGATGAACGTTACCCCTTGAGTTATGAATTGTTCCAATGTGTATCCTCTGAGGTGAAATGTTCACAACTTTCCAAACTTTGTTACCGAGATGACTAAAATAATAATTACTTTTTATGAAATAGTATTGCGATGTTTTTTTAATGTTCGTCTTTTTATTATATACATTTTACTTTGAAACTTCAATCGGATTCAAAATATTAGTCAAACCAACGTTTAATTGTTAACCATTTTTATTTTATTGTAACTATTATCATTATTATCTTAATATTAACTTATTATCAAATTGGGCATTTTTTAAAGGGAACACAATGATTTTTTTAAGCTAACATAGGTAATATTGATTAGCAGATGTGCCTTTTTAGACGAGTTGTAAAAACCTGGCAAAGCTTTTAGCAATGTAAGCTTTGATAATTAACAACGGATTAAACATTTTGATTAAATTTTAATTATACGAAAAGATTATTTTTCAGTAATCGTACAGTTGTGATACGTTTAATTCTAATAATAAAATAACATAATTTTTTTTCGAGGGTTCATATAAACACAGCAGAGGTCATATAAACCCTCAGGTTGCCGGTGTTTTAGAAAAAAAGCTCATTTGTAAGTATGTCGGGTGACATGATGATAGCTGTTAAGAAGTTAAAGTAAAACAAATTATGAATAAATAAGATAATAGGTTTTAATAATGGTGCAACGTTATCCTTAACAAGAGTTTTAGTACCTTTATAATACTGTTATAATTTAAATGGCAAAGCTGTTTGGAAAGAAGATAAACATGAATAACCTAAATTATTTTAAATCGTAGCACAGGCAGCAGCAGACTGGCGTGGAATCCTAACACAAGACTTAAGAGACAACAACTTAAAGAAGACTGGAACAACTATGAAGACTTACTTCTTGGACCGAAATCCGTCTTGACAGTCAATGCTAAAATAAACCCCATTATATTTAGTGTTCTATTAACCAAATTACTTATCTCAATTAATTAATCTATTTATTTAAGGTTTCGTTGAAATGAAAAAATTAGTGTCACGAGCTTGATACGTCACTATTCTACCACCTGGGCTATCGTGGGTTCGAATCCCGCTCGTGACACTGACTTTTTTTATCTCAACTAAAAAACTTAAGTAATTAAAAGATATTAACTAGTCAAGCGGACCACGAAAACTAGTGAATTAAACGGTTGGTTGATCGTCTCTTGAGGTATATCTTTCGAAAAATCTTATTTTTATTTAAGTTTCTTGCTCTCTTCTTTTTAATAATAGTCTATCGTATATTTGCTATCAAGTTGACAGTATTGTTTTAATTGTATTTAGAGGTTTTGAGGCTAATGACAATTAACAAAACCCATTTGCTATTCTACCAAATTTAATTTGAAGTACAAAAGAGATAAGTCACATGAAGTTTTTATCAAGGATCAAAACAATTAATGAAATTAAATTTACAATTACTTGTACAATGTAAAACCTTCATAAGGGAAATAAAAAAAAATATCCTTAGAATGAGAAAAATGTTGTGTTTAGTTTTGTCACGACTATAATAATTATAAACAGCACATAGTAAAAATATAAAATTATTTTTTTCTGTACTATAAATAAGTATTCCTGTAATCGATCCGGTTTATATCGTGAAATTTCCTACAGTGGACTAAGGGCCAATGAACAAGTAATGTTATCGTTTTTCTTTGTAACTAGTTTATTATAGTTTGTCATATGTTCACACCCACGACACACAAGAATGGCACAATTACGCAGAAAACAAACACTTTGAGTGAGTAGAAATACTTTGATTGAATATAAAAAAATATTTATTTGCATTGTATAAATTCACTTTTTTCCACATCTTGTTTTGGTTAAATTTAAACAATGTTTGTAAATCCCAGGCCCTGAAGATGATCTCAATAAAGATCGAAACGTTGGCACGATAAAGAAAATGTTTTTCGGAAACCTACATCACACCAGACCGAATCTCACGATTTCTGAATAATTACAGATCAAAGTTTAACATTTAAAGTAAAATTCAGTATGTTAAAATAAGAAAACATTATCATTTGCAAACTATATCGCCAATTGGATAACAATGTTTAAGTTTATTTACTAGACGTGTCCTGCATGTTGGACCAAAAGACAGCTCATAAAATCGTATATTACGGTTAGGGAGTTTAAAACAATGATGAGGAAGAACTTCTGGGGTATCGACAAGTCCGTTCCGTAACATTCTTGCAAAATCGGCGTGAATACGATTATCTTTAATCGAAAACTTTATGGGTTGTATCATATGATGAGAAACTAAGTTCAGATTTAACAAAAAATATTAAAAAGCTTTCATTTCTATTCCTTCACGTCAGCAAACAATTAGTTTTATGCAAGGGGGCAAACCAGCATAACCTGAACAATCCGAACCAAGGACTGGTTTACAGTTTTAATTGCGAAGACAATTGTAAAGACAGATGTTATTCATTTTATAAAACCAAGATGACTGTACGCTGTGTTAATAATGTTTCAATAGTGGCCCTAGATCTAGAATCTACCTATTAAAGAGGAGTATCAACAACGGAATAACAGAAAAGATACAGAATCAAAAAAGAAACTTCTTAGAAAAAAAATGTGATGTTATTTATCAATGTCAATCGTGAGCCTATTCTGAGTGCACCAATCGTAGGAAGCAGAGATGTCCTTCTCCAATATAAAAACATCATCAGAAGCCTAGATTTCTTTAAGAATCTTGAGAGTTAACAAAGAAATCCTAGAAAATATAATGGGGTTGACGACATCTTTGAACGTGCTATTGGACAAAATAGGTCCAGAACGCGAGCTTTGCGGAACACCGGATCAAATTTCAATCTCATCCGTCAAGAAACCATCAAAGGTGTCACGAAAGGATCTTCCTTCGAGAAAAAACAGAAAAGCGGTTCACTAACACCATACGCAATTTGTGAACACCAAAAAGTAGTTCACTGAGTCAAAAGCATTCGATAAATCCATGTAAACGGAATGGACTTGGTGACCACCCTTTCAAACGCAGTAAGTATAAAGTCCTTATAAATGACATAGATAGTCGTGGATCGGAATTTGGCAAATCCGTGCTGATTAAGCGAGAGAACATTCCTAAAGACATCTGACAAAACATTAGCAACAATCAACCCCTTAACCTTAGAGATAATAGGACACTTGCTTAGAAGAGATAAAACGAATAGAAGGGAGGAAATCATTTTGAAATTCAAATAGGTCTTGAGATAATTAACAGTTAAGCCATCAATGAAGGCAATTTCATAGAATGAATTCATTATATAAGGTACACAGATTCTTCGATAATGACCTAAGTTGAAAACTTAATTTGTTCCTTTCAGCGGGAGGCCGCGGCACGTGCAAAACGGATAAAAAATAATCATGTAAATAAAACAAGAGTCGATAAGAAGCATTGCTAAACATTTGGAGTCCGAAGAGAACAAGGGCTTGGGCAATCCACTTACCGCAGACATACCGTATAAGGAAAATGATATTTTCCGACCGATATTTATACCGAGCCAAGAGATAACGGGTGCAAATATAAAATGATGGGAAGTGGCCAAGCCGTACTGTTGATGAATGTAAGCCCCTGATGACCCACAGGTTTGCTCTCTACTGAATATTTGCCGTTCGTGATCAAATAAAAACCCCTGACGTGTCCGATTGCCAAAAATCGCGGCAACGCTGATACGGCAGTTTGCAGAATAATTCAGTCAATCACTTTCCACCTACTGTGTCATCCAAATTCGAGCCGAGTTTTAAATTTTTAATTAAAATTGACAAAAAATAGATTTCCAGGTTTTACTCTATTTGAGAATTTTAGAAGAGAGAATTAGATGAGAAGCCTAAGCAACTTTGGATAATAAACTTTTCAGATAGTTTTCATAATATGGAAGTATGTTGAATTTGTATTTGTTTTCTTTCCGGCAAGTGCTTACCAAAGAAGTTTAATTCAGTTGTAATTAAGACGAAATTGAAGATTGTACAAAGTGGATTACTTAAAGCCCTCTAGATTCATATCAATTAATTCCATCTCACACAATTACAAAAGGCAAGGTAATTTTTAGGGTTTTAGTCCTAAAGTTAATAAATGTGTTCCATTATGTTCTCAACTCATTTATTTCAAAATGCTCAAATGGTAGAGTTCATTTGTGCTACTAATTTTACAAAAACAGACCATAAAAATCAACAAGTTCTCTATTCGAACCCACGATCTTCGGCTAGATACGCCGCTGCTCTACTTGAACTATCTTGACTTCCATCCACTCGGACATTAAATTTCCACCTCAACCCCACCAATTAATCTCACGCCGCGGTCGTGGGTTCGATTCCCACCGTCGCCTCTGGCCCTTTTTTCCCGATAACCCCCAATTTGAACACACAAGAATTCGTACCATGGCTAATATGCAAGATCATAAGGCCAATAAAAAAAAACACCTTTTGAATTTTCCCTCCTTTTTGCTATTTTTCAAATGTCGTATAATTTATTTGATTCGCGGCGACAAATAAAATGGCCACGAAGAGCGTTAGTGAAGTATACTTCATTTTAATTCATTAAATTCACTGATTTCGTGGTCCGCTTGACCAATTAATATCTTTCAATTAATTAAGGTTTTTAGTTCAGATAAAAAAGTCATTGTCACGAGCAGGATTCGAACCCACGACCTACGGCTAAATTCCCGCTACTCTACCACTTGAGCTATCGTGACTTAGATCCACTCGGGTTATATACAATGTAAAGTGTTACATTTATGGAATTCAATTGTTATTCTCCAAGCTTAAGACCTATTTTAAGATCATCATCAATGCAAAACAATCTGAGTGGTCTACAAATCGACATAATTCTATTTCTAATAAATATTGAGTTGGCAAGAAAAATCTAATGAGTCCACGAACGTTTTAAATCTTTCGAAGTTTTGGCCATGTACAACATTTTGTAATGACCGAAATAAATAATAGACTCAAGGAAAAATGTCCGGAGATAGTGGCGGGAGTGATTAAATTTCCTTATTCAGATGAGTTATTATGGGTGAATATAATAATAATTTGGTCCTCAAAACAATGCGAAACGGAACTTGTCCTGGTGAAAGACTAGACCTTTTCTGTTTGATAGTGCAGGCCAGTTTTTATATATTTTATGGTCTGAACGGGTTAGCTATTAACTATTAATTGTTTGCCCTTATGATAAAAGCTCAAAATTCAAGGGTCTGGACCTGTCTCACCAAATGAACGGCATAATTTTTTTACGTGTATTTGTTGTATATTGGCACAACTGGGGGTCATTGACAGGTTTGGCAATAGCTTTTTTGTGTACTATGATTTTGTATTTGATCCATTTTTCATCGCCTGAAACAAGTCTATGAAGAAACGTGTCGTATGAGTGACGACAAAGGAATAAAGAGTAAACAGAGATACGTTCCGCCAAATTCCTTCACTGAGTTCGCGTGGAATCCATGTTTTAACGGAACTCCGAATCCTCGGGTCGTCAAAAATGGATTTCCATCTAGTCCATGCCTCAATATGTCCTCGTCAACTTCAGAAGTCGGTCCACTGCGAGCATTATCTTGAAAAATCCAATTTCCTTCTCTAAATCGGACAAACCACCATTGGACTTCACTAACATTTGCAGCATTAGTACCAAACACCGCATACCAATTTTCAGTTTCAATAGTTGCATTTTGGAATTCATAAAGTAAACAATGCCTTAAATGTTTTCCATCCAAAGACATGATTACCTATTAAATTATTCGACATAATGAAAGAAGTTGAACGCAGAAACTGCTGAAATAAAGTCTCTTAATTTAGGAGATTAAACAAGAGAATTTGTAAACGAAAATAATAGAGAAAAAAAGTAAATATTGAGATAATTAATTCCATAATTGAAAAACGACTTAACTTTCTTGCAAAATCAATATTTTCAAATTTCTTTGAATGTAGTCCCAACATTTCCAAGACTGTAACACCGTGAACAGGTGAACAGTGTATCCTCGCTGTTAGTCTTTCTTATCCACCACCGAAGATAACGGAAAACGCGTCAGATTGACTTTCGAGTTTATTTCCTCCTCCTCCTTTGAGCATTAGTTTATAATTTTTAAATTTTTAATTAATATATTTCTAAAGTTTCACCTGTATGTGCTCTTGACGAAAGTTCTTAGAATGTTGGTCCTTCTGTCGGGCTCGATCCCGTACTGTACGTCATCTCCAGTGAAGGCCAAAAACGCTTCCGCTTTCACCACGCCAAGGAGCAGGTCGTATCGAGAAAGTTTTGTGACGAGGCTTTTTCTGGAAGATCCCCATTCGTGCCCTTGGCCGGGTTCCCTGGTTCTAGAGTTAGACCATTTTCCTCCGTTCGCACCTCCTGGAAAAGGCAATGGGAAATACGAGTTGAATATATTTTATTCAATAGACGTTTTTGGACACACACACACACACACACACACACACATCCGCGGGTTTTCTGATTCTAATATGTTTGGGAAGAGTACTCATGTAGTTGTTGAGCGTGGTCAACCTCATTTCACCTAGGTCGGCTTAAGTATGTCGCGGTTTCCAAGAATTCTCTTCAAGCTCGCTGTAAACATTCCTCCTTGTTTGGCTACTAACTATCATTCCGCTCTTTCAGAATAGAAATTGCTTAATTAAAACAAACGTTTTATTTTCTTTTCAAAAAAATTAACTAAAGTCAGAAAGTAGAATATTCTGGACCGCAATTTTCCTTGAGTTTTTGTTCCTTGCAAATGAATGAACATTTTAATTGTGAAGTTCAATATCTTCGCTTATTAGAAGAAGAAGAAGAAAAATAACTTTATTCTGGGACTGGTGTCCCTAAGAATAATTTACATGAAATAAATAAAGGAAGTTCCTTCTATGAAGTTAAAAGTAAAAAAAAAGATAGAAATCTTGGCACAATGTATACCAATATGGCAGGACAGAAGAAAAAATTACGAGAATATTAAACAAAAATAACAAATGTTAACGTGAGGTCTCTGCTTGGTGGGAGAGGAGGAGATTATAGGTGGGATTTAAAGGAGGAAAAGGAGGCAGCGTGACGAATAGAAAGGGGAAGTAATACACATAAATATAATGATATTACCGTGAAGACGATCAGATTAGAGTATCACTTTAATGGATAATTCCAATGGGCAAGTGGGTGATATTGTCCTTCCTGTAATATTTTTCACCAATCGCTATAATTTGTTAATATAATTGTAACACAAATTATAATGCAAATGATTGAAAATCCGCCTCTATATTTTGGGCTAGTCATGACAATTCGTTTTGGGGCGGGCGGTCTTTTTTTCTTTTTTTTTTTCTTTAAAAATCGCAAATAAAATCACCCTGTTATCAGTATTGAGCTATCACGCTGAAGTCCCGTGGGTTATGTACGGGCTGTTAAAATCGATTTGGGGAGAGAAAAACTTATCGTATTAGGCAGTTCGCGTGCTTTGGGGACCTATTGGGTTGGTAGATAGCTGGCCCCACGGAATTAACGTTCAGTTCTATTCCTTACTTCATCCGTGAGTCGAAAGTGTTGCTATTGTACAAATATTATTTTATAACAAATTGGAAATGTTCTTATGCAAGGGTATAACGTATGATAAGGGATTCTTTTCCGAAAGAGAATATGGGAAAACAGAATAAACGCGGTTCGAATAACGTCCGGTCAAAAATTAAACTTCAAAGGCGAGGATTTGAGGAATTCGAATTAAAGGATTGTCTCCGTTTACTTGGAGAACGGGCGATTTTGTTTTCTGGGCACATCAAAAGATTCCGATTCGTATTAAAACAAATATACAGAATTATTATTGTTTCGCTATTACTGCAAGGCAAAATACTGCTAGCTGATATAACATTTTTATGTTAATATTATCCAACAATCCAAGAAAACACTTTAAAACGTAATTTCACCTACTGATGTTATACAATTTATAAAATTTGTTCAACATGTTTAGGCTAACAAAAAATTGCCCATTTGTTGTCTTCATGAATCTCTTGTCTTTTCTTTTATTCGGCAGGCGTGAACATTTCACACTGCAATTTTTGCCTATTTATATTTTTCGCAGTCTTTGGATTTTCATACTTTGTACAATCTTCGCAAAAGGTTGGTAAGATGGTGTCGCAGTTAATTTATATAGTTAATTGTATATATATTTTTCCTTAAAATTAATTCGTTATATTACACACACCACATTTTTTAGGCAGGAAATCCAATCGTTTGTTCTAGCCTAGGTTACCAAATAGATTTCTTAAGTAAGACAGATAAATGTTGGCAAGAAAAGATCATCTTGGCTTTTCTTTTTGTTTGAGTGGGTTATTTACGTATCTTCAAGAGTTTTCTTAAAATCTCTTTATATCAAGTGAAGAAACTTAGTAAAACTTAATTGACTTAACAAAATATAGAAACTAAGAGGAAAATTTATGTTTTGCTTATTCCACTAGTTTTCGTGGTCCGCTTGACCAATTGGTATCTATCAAATAATTAAGGATTTTAGTTGAGATAAAAAAGTCAGTGTCATGAGCTGGATTCAAACCCACGATCTTCGTCTAGATACGCCGCTGCTCTACCACTATCGATCGTGACCTCTATCCACTCGGACACTAACATCTCAACCCCACCTTTGAATTTTCCCTCCTTTCTTGCCATCGAATCCCGCTCGTGGCACTGACTTTTTTATCTCAATTAAAAACCTTAATTAATTGATGGATATTAATTGGTCAAGCGGACCACGAAAACTAGTGCATTTAATAAGTTAAATGAAGTGTATCTTCACTAAAGTTCTCCATTTCTATTTCGTTTGTCCCCGAGAATCAAATAGATTACACGACATTTGAAATATGGCAAAAAGGAGGGAAAATTAAAAAAAAAAGTGGGGTTGAGACGGGAAGTTAATGTCCGAGTGGATAGAAGTCACAATTGCTCAAGTGGTAGAGCAGTGGCGTATCTAGCCGAAGGTTGTGGGTTGGAATCCCGCTTGTGACGCTGTCTTTTTATCTCAACCAAAACCTTAATTAATTGAAAAAGAATTTATTTGGTCAAGCGGACCACGAAACCTAGTAAATAGTATATAATACTGATGTTTTGTGTCCCTGGCGCCTATTGAGAATGAATGTATTTATTGGGGAGAATGTGTAGTGTGAGAGAGACGATGGCTGAATATTGAACAACCAAATCGACCATCAGTTAGGTTAGTTATTAATCGGTGTAAGGGGTGATGGAATATTGAGTGAATGGGGTTGAGATGGGAAGTTAGTGTCCGAGTGGATCGAGGTCACGATACCTCAAGTGGTAGAGCAGCGGTCCTTTTTTGCCATCGAACCCCGCTCGTGACACTGACTTTTTATCTCAACTAAAAACTTTAATTAATCGATAGTTCTTTTTAATTTTGAGTGGTTATGTTCACGAAAGTGTGACGTACATAAACAAAGTTCAAAATATTTATTTATATGGGGCAAAAGAAAAACCCCAATCATCCAAATACTTCGTGTAGAAGAACAGAACCGTTTTAAATTGCTGAGCGTATAGCTCGTCATTTTGAATCTGTTTCTAATTCCAGCTCGTATTCGTAGCGTTTCAGGCAGATAAAGGAGGAGGAAGAAAGACACGATTTAAATTTTGCAACTGATGAAGAAGAAGTCTGAAGCACTTCCCTCACTTTGCCTAAACTGGATCTTGTTTTGAGTTCGATTAATCTTCTTCAGGAAGTAATGCAACCACATACTCCATGATTAAAAATCTATCTCCAGAATGAAAAGTAAAGCTTTTGGAGTTATTTAATGAAATAGGTGTGCGGGATATTATCCTAAAAACTGGGAGGAGTCGGCCGTGATACCCATTGCTAAGCCGGGTAAAGATCTTAATCTAAGCCTCCCAGAAAATTACAGACCTATTTCTCTAACATCATGTCTCAGCAAAACATTGGCAGCCATAATTAACAAAAGGGTAAATTGGTTTATTGAGAAAAAAAGGCCTGTACAGTCAATACAAGGCTGGGTTTAGAAAGCACTTTTGCGCTTCTTGAAAGTGTTATTCAGAACACTTGCTTAGAGAGGGTGCATGTTTTAGCTGTCTTCCGCATTCTTAAGAAACTCTATGATTGGGGTTTAAGAGGGAACATAGCTAAATTTATAAAAAGCTTCCTCGAAACGAGGAGATTCCGGATTAGTTAACCGGTCGTTGGTTCGAATCCCGCTCGTGACACTTACTTTTTTTAAACTAAACTAAAAACCTTAATTAATTGAAAGATATTAATTGGTATAGCGGACCACGAAAACTAGTGAATTTAATTCAAACCTTAAATCAATGGGTTCACAGGAAAGCCATAAATAAAATGACTCCAAGTTGTGATCGGACTAATATTTCACGAGATCTTAGAGGAAGAAGAATGGAAGAATTAGGAAAAAGAATTAAAAAAAAATTGGTCGAGCAGCCCTTAAAACAGTGATCAAAATAAATTTAAACACGATTGTAAATAACCTCAATTTATCGTAAGGAGTTAATAATAAATATGATTAAATTTCCTTTCCCCAATATTAAACTGTAAAACTGTATGTGATCTGTGTACAACTAGAGTATAACATGGTAGTACTTGACTGGCAGAAATGTTTATAAAATTTGTCGAATAAATCAACTTTACAAGGATTAGGGGTTTCACTAAGTAATGAAACCGTTAACTGAAAAATGATTGTTAATAAACAGTTTCTATATAAAGGAAAGCAAATTTCTTAGATTGTCTTTTTAATAAACAGTTTCTGGATAAAGGAAAGCAATTTTTCTAAGGGTGTCTTCTTTTCCCATTAGGAAATATCTTAGCTTGAATAAGCACAATAATAATATATGAACGATTGAGGAATAAAAGGTGAATTCTTGAGCTGCATAATGGAATTACACTATTTATTATTATTTTTTCTTCTTCAGGGGTATTTAACCACGTTTTATATACTAAAAACGATTCTCCTTATATGGATTTTATATCTTCATATTCTTTGATGACATATACGTCCCATTTCCATTGGGTTTTCGTGGTTTCTTTTCGTAATCAACCTTCTTTAATCGATTAAAATTTTAACTTAAACTCACTGATTTTACAGTCTGGACACTTCCACCAGAAAACAGTTTAATGGTCCTTATAAATGGGATTTTCCACCTCCTTCGCACCGACTCCAAATGTAACTTTAAAAGGTTTTTTACTCGTTGGGAGGTTTAAGATCTTGAATAACTGTCTAACCTTATTTAAAATTCCTTTTTTTACTAATTTTATTAGTTGGTTTAAAATAAGAGTAGCTTTTTGAATAAACTCCGAATATCTAACAGGTGGCATTTTCAATTACAACTCTTTTCTTGAAAATATTTTTTAGATA